AGGTCAATCAGCCAAGCGGTCTACGATATGACAGACACTTCGTTTCCGATGCGCAATTCAACACTATCTTTTGACAAGGTGCGTCAGCACATGCAAAATTATCATTACTTCAAACGAAACTAAGAGACTATATGCACATCCAAAAGAGAAAATTCTGAGAGATTTTAATTTCGCTTGAGTAATCAATCCGTAATGGGGTGAGAAAAACCCACTTCCATCTGTTTTTTAAAACTGTCTTGATTATTTGTAAAAAGGTTAAAATTAAATTGAAATCATTCATTCGTGCTCTGCGCTCTGCACCGTGACAGAAAATCATTCCGTTGAAACAACCGTCTAGGGAACTGTTAATTACTACTCGTTTTTAAACGCGACCTTCGTGGAAAGTGAAGTATTCTTGGGCTCCCAGAATACTCTGCAGCGCAAAGAATGAATATATACTTAATCGTCCGCCATCATGCTTAATTTAGTTTATAGCTCTATTGGTAGAAAATCGTATATTTGCCCTTATTATTTTAAACGAATAAGTACCTTACATTATACTCGAAATTATATACCTTTTCAAAGGAAAGAAAATGTGATTACACGGAGACGAAATATAACTATTTCTTAGGAGATCAACTTCACGCGAGTAATACTGAACAAGAAATGTAACTTAATTTAATTGTTTTTCAGATGCCCAAAGCCGACAACGCCAGTGGACGACACACAACCCCCTCCTCGGTGCTACCCAGGGTCCACCGACCCGCGCTGCCCACGGCCTACTCGTCCGCCCACCGCGCCACCAACGTACCTGCCTCCCAGCACCCAGCCGCCCACACGGCCTCCGACAACGCAGAGACCCAGGTGCTACCCAGGGTCTACAGACCCCCGGTGCCCTCAAACGCCGCCAACTCCGAGGCCCACGACGCAGGCACCGAGGTGCTATCCGGGCTCCAACGACCCTAGGTGTCCACCGCCACAAACGACCACGCCACCTCTGAGATGCTATCCTGGTTCAAATGATACACGGTGCCCGCCTCCTCCAACAACCGAGACACCAACTTTGATCACTACCATACTCGGCACAGTATGCGTCCCAGGAACGAACGATCCTCGATGTCCATCTAGATCCACTACACCGCCACCAACGACTCAGCCACCAAGATGCTATCCGGGATCCAATGATACACGGTGCCCGCCTCCTCCAACAACCGAGACACCAACTCTGACCACTATCATACTCGGCCCAAGATGCGTCCCAGGAACGAACGATCCTCGATGTCCACTACGACCGGTAGAAGGATCACCAATAGGATCGCCCCCACCACTAATGGACAGTCCGACGGGAACCAAATGCCTTCCTGGAACAACAAATCCCAGATGCCCTCGAAGAAGACCGGCACCATCACAGCCCAGATGATGTTCTCAATCAACAGATCCCAAGTCACTAAAATCTAAACTTCCACCGCCTTCACTCAATACTCAAACACTACCCAGATTACTTTCACGATCAACAGATCCATCATATCTTCAGAAAAAGACCGGCAATCTTCAATGAATGTCTCGTTACTCCTCAAACTAGGCTTCCACTTCCAACAAAACTTCGTCTCCCACATGTTGTCCGACATCCACATATCGCAGTTTTTCCAGAACTATACCTCCATCCTCATCACCATTACCATCACACTTGTCTGCACCACCCACATGTTTCCCTTGATCTTCGGATCCGAAATACGATCCACGTCTTCAAGCATGTACTGTATTTTCTGTATCACCACCACCATGATTCAATAGGTTCACAACCCCCGGAAAATGACGCTTAAGTAATGTGTTTTTGTGCTTTGTGTTCTATTCGTTGCAAAATTTGAGAAAAATTAAACCCTTTTTAGACAATCTTGTTTATTTCTCATAAATTTGCTACGATTTCACTCAAAATTTCGTAAAAATTATTCGCGTGAAAAGTTTAAAATTACTTTAATTGAAGACCTCATTTTAAAGAACAGATTTTATTACGAACAAATCTCTATCGTCTGTAATGTAGATGAAATTATGGATCCAAAAAGCTTTACACATTAGCGAGTTTCGAAATTCGTCCTACAGACTTCATGTAAAAAATTTGGAAGAACCTCTTGAAATTTGCTGGACTTCGAGCATAGCCAGGTCAATGAGGAATATATCATTTGGTGGGAAATCCTCTACATAGTTCAAGCACTAGTGTTCTTTACAGACAGACGGACAAAGAGATGTTTCTAAGGATATATAGTGAAATACCGATATAAATATTGATATTTAATTCATCTAATCTTCGACTATTACCACTTTACGCTTTGGCTCGCCACCGAAACTCATGTGATATGAATTTATAAATATTTCTATCATTGGTGTGCCATGCAATACTAATTCATTTTTACTGAAATGTTTTTTATATTGATTCTATTTCATTTTATTTATGGGTACCGACATACATCTTCTTTTCGGTTATATGTGAACGTACAGTCTATTCATAATTGCGATCGGTGTAAGTTCTGTTAATTAAATAGATTGTTTTGAATTGATGACTGAAAATAAATTATCAGGATTATTTTCAATAAAATAACTTAACATTTATTAACATGTTTTATTTTTACATTTCAAATGAGCTCATTAATGAAACTGATATTATTTTTTGTATACAATAATCATCCTCCTGTACAGGTCAAAAATCAAAGTTCATGGCTTACTATGATCTTTGTGCGCATCGGTGATTTCTCGATTGTCCTTCGATCGGAAGATCCATCCGATTTCTCTTGATGCTGCCTATTTGCTGTTAATGTTGCCGTCCCTCCTGTTTCTAGCGCAACTGTTCTTGACCGACGGATTGAAGAAATGCGGATGGAATAGAGTTCTTAGTTATGAAATCGACCACTACATTTTATGAAGCAATGCCAATATCTGGAGAGTCAATCATGCCTTTCTCATCTTTCTCAATAATCAACCTTTATCATGATTTCAAGGTATCTCTCATGACGGATCTTTACTTGCTTTGGTCATTTCCTTAGATTTTAGGAGAAAATCACAGAATTTCTCATCTTCAACAGAAAATAGTTTATATTTTGCACCAATTAAGATGAAATGTTGTCATCAGTGCTCACTGCAAGCTTTTACTTTCGACTGTTTATTGCGTCAGAAGAAGCAAAGTCATCGCTCAAGAAAAGTTGCGCGAATAATACCGTATTATCTCCCAATGTCAGATAAAAATCACAATCAATTACCATGCGTTCTCGGCTTTCTCTGTGCTGTACCTCATATGGGTACCTTTTTGCAACTGCCTACGTTCAACACGAATTGTTGAATATAAGACACATCTAAGATTCTTTCCTATGATAAATTTTGTTCCTCACACCGCCTCTTATACACACATTCTCTATAGATTACAAGGATCTGTAATTCTTTCCTTTCTCGACATATCGAAGCATTTTGTTTGCTCACCCTGAGCTTGCTTATTTACTGATAGCCCTGACGTGTGTTCTTCTTGCATTAATTGACGTGCTATTTACAATATCTTCATGCCGTTTATGTTCTAAAACGGGATCTTTCTGGCTATAACAATATTGTTTAAATATGCACATTCCGGGTGTCACTTGAGTGAATGGTTAGATTTAGCACAGTTCAAAGTATACTAACGATGCAGTACGGCGGTTCGAAACAGTACCTTTCGCCACTTTGGTGGATTGAAATTATAATACATCCCATAGGTCAATCCAATCATAAACGAGTGATGACGCGCATTAGAATGGCCCAGTGCGATTCAAACAAGAACTGCGGCCATATTAAATAATTATTTAATTTTTCCGCGCGCTTCCTTCAACTTCTAAGGTCGTTAGTTCCTTAAGTTTAGTGCATGTTTTATCACGGTAGGTAGCTGTGTTCTCTCACAGAATAATGAGATTCGGCTCAGTGGATGGTGAGGTTTGTTATGATACCGCTCTGGCATTCGCCTGGAATTGATCGGAGCAGCCGGCTGGTTGAATTCTCCTCCAGTCAACGGCAAATTCGAGCTAGATAAATGGCGAAAATACGTCGCTGTCAGGACTCAAACCCCTGAACCTCCTGAATAGAGGCACTGTAGTGATGTCAGTTGACAAGTCTCCAGGGGAGTTCATTACAACTTACTAAAAGAAACTTAATAATCTCAAGAGATTGGTAAATATCGTTCTTAATGGTGATCAATAATCTTGACTTCAATACATTGTTATGCTGGAATATAATTTACATAATGGATCATATTATAATTTAATTACTCAATTAGAGTCGTCACAATTACTCAATTAGAGCACTCAGGATGTTTCTACATGAGCATCTAAAGGAGCTACTGGAACTGTGACAATCCGACTTGATATTTTCTTATAAAGATTTTTTTTCATTTTTTCGAAATATAAATGTATTTTTATTTGTTGACTTATTATTAATATTTATAAAATTACCAATTGAATGACTTTTGATAGTATAGAAAATTAGCAAGAGCTGTATTTCTGAATATCATTAAAGATTATCGTTAATAAACAAGCCAGCTGGTTAAATTTCACTTATAACAAAACTTTTTCTTCAGAATTAGCTACATTTTTTTTGAATCTCCAACGTATTATTCTTAATAATAGTGGCTCCAGCGTCTACTAAAGGTGCAGTGTAGCCGAATGTTGTAGGCATTTTACCAAAACAATGGATGCCAAAAGGTTAAATGAACCACTTGTTTGTATTAAGCATGAAGAGTCAGTCGTGATATGTTTGCTTTGTTCGCATAGAAATATACAAAGGGTTAAAAGATAGATACAAAGGGTTACTATATCACATTACGCGGTTCCAGTAAAAAACTCTTCAAACGCTTTTTTTAATGTTTCGAAACGTATTAGAGTCAAATTTTTACCCCCCCCCCACACACACACACACACACTTTTTATTGTGACTATGGACTTCTCGTCTGCATTCACCTGTGACACCAACAGCCACAGCCACCTAAACAGACTTAAGATGTGAGTCTTAAAAATACATTTTGAAAATTTGCAAAGAAAGAAACATTACACTAATTACTTTTATTTTAAAAATAAAATTCTACTTTTATTTTTAAAAAACGCTAAACCCATAAATGTATTGAGATCTTTTCTAGTAAGAATTTTCGAATTTCGGTTCGAAGGTTCTTATTATTATTTCCTCGTATTTATACGAAGTAAAATGCGTAATGTAGAGAAAGTTATGTAATGCTGCGAAAACTAGATTTCCAGATTTCAACAAAAATTCGCGTTTTGCGTCCCCTGATACCAAAAAAGTGTTATTTTACTTCTTTGCCTTTCTTCGAATGAAGAGAAAGTATTGTAAGCATCCGCCGGAAATCGTCAATTTTTCGGCAGAAAAACTCTTATTGATAGACACTGATAACGAAAAATTGGATGAATGTTGTTCCTGTATGTAGTAAAATACTTCCTCTAATGTTGTGTAGTCAGAATCCTTATTTTATGGCTTCTTCAAACCAAAAAAAGATTCACGGTAAAAACATATCTGTCCGTTTGCTAATGCCCAACCTTAACGTCTTTCGAACGATTTTTTCCTCTTCAAAATTGATTTTTCCAATCGATCTGAATAAACCCTGCAAATTTGAAACGGATATTTAGATTTTTGGTAGTAGTTTACATTAAGCCTCAACATTTTCTAAATTTTCTCAGATATGGCTCCGTTTCTTTTCTATTTACCTTTCTTCTCAAATACCAGAATTTTTTTAAATGTCAGGAGTCTCACTTTCGTTGAAAACCCTAATTTTCGAACATGATTATAGACCCATTTTTAGACGTCTTCCTAAAACTACAATAACAAATAAAATAAAAAAATATTATAAAATCTGTTCTCTAAAGACATCTTGATATTAAGTCATGTACAATTTTTCGAAAATATGAGTAGTGTTTGCGTAATTTTGCAGAATACAGGCTATTTTGAAACAATTATTTTCTCAACAACTGCTCGATTTATTTCAATATTTTTACCCTCAGAAGCATTAACCGACGGTAAAAAAAATAGTTCTGGTCACATTTTCGGCAAACTAGCTGTATTTGCATTTGCTGGTTTTCTATTTTTACATAAAGTTAATGCATTATTTTCTCGATTTTTTTCATTAACTTTGTTTACTAATACATCATATTATTAAAGATCGTTAATCCTTAATAAACAAACCAGCTGGTTAAATTTCATTTCTAGCAAAAATATTTCTTCACAATTAGCTGCATTTTCTTTTGAATATCCAGCGTTTTTCGTAATTTTTAGTATTCATAATTTCGCGGGTTTTGTTGTGTAAAGTTCCACCGAAGCGCTAGCAGCGCGCGACAGTAACGTTCTCTACAGTTATTTGCTGTGTAGAAGCAGTATTTCTTGGTGTCACTCTATGCAATGTCACTACCAGAGAGTCACTACAGTGATGTCTCCGGATGTCTCTACGGGAACAATCGAGCTCCCGATTGGATGAAACTGTCGACAACTAATTTACGTCAAACGCGTGGTTACATAAATCCAAGTGTGTGCCATAGAGTAGAGATATCGTATAGAGTAGAGTAGAGATATTGTATCTCTCCTCTATGGTGTGTGCTTGTATTCTTTGATTTAAATTGGAAGTGATTTTAAGGTTACGAGCTGGCGGGAGAGGGAGACAACCAATAGCGACATTTGTTATGACAAATATTTAGAATCAAAGCTTTTGATAGGATGATAGTAACCTCCTCTCATTTCAGTTTGTTACTTTCAAAGGACTTACTTTTTTAAATTAGAGAATAATAGAACTTCATAAGCCCGCTGAGGCCATCACTAAAAAGAATGACCTCATTTCTACTTCTCGTTTTTTGCTTTCGTTCACCGATCTGGGGATGTCGGAGTCGATTGGTTTCGTTGAGGCAAAGATAAAGCTCTGTGCCATAAGGCTAAAATCTGTTATCTCTTATAATTTCATGTTTGTATTTACTTTTAATATTTCGGGATGAAAAATTCGTTCTGGCACTGAAATTTTGGATTGAGAGCATTTGTGTGGATGAGCGCCAGAATTGGCCAGAATCGTGTGAACGAATATGCGAAGAACGGTTCACAAAATAGTCTCGGAGTCAATATAAAAGCCTGTTGAGAGAGAGAGAATAGTATGTGTTTAGGTTATGTTTCGATACGTTAAAACAAATCTGTCAAGTATGTAGAACTGAAACACATGGATAGCAGAAGTAAACTCGTCGTTTGCAACACGGATACCAGTTATGTACGTTTGTTCTTCTAAACTGTTGGTGTGACAGGTTACATCCCTTGAATAGACATTGCGTCATACGTCAGTATGACTCGTTGAAATAGAGCTGATTCAAAGCGGAAACTTGCTATTCGATGTATCTAGAACATAGAGTGGGTATATATAATCCTCAGATGGCACGCGGGTAGAGCAGTTGAATTTTATACCCCCATCAGTTGTCATCATGGAGTTTCCAGATTTGGGACAACATTGTTCTGAAGTAACATGCCAGCAGTTGGGTAAGATTAGCTAAAAGCATTTCTTGCATTTGAGCTTATTATTCGCAATTTGTAATTATTATATGATTTAATTTCAGATTTTCTACCATTGAAGTGCGACGCATGTGAAAACATATTTTGGTAAGTATTGAATTTTCTAAAAATTAAAGTTCTTGTATGTACAACTATAGCAAAAGCTTAACTAAATTTCTATGACTTACAGTCGTGAACATATTGCATATAAAGACCATAATTGTTCTTCAGCATACAAGAAAGATGTGCAAGTACCGGTTTGCCCTTTGTGCAACACTCCAGTACCTTTAAAAAAAGGTGAAACACCAGATTTTGTTGTTGGACAACATATTGATAATGACTGTCAGTCAGATCCAGCAAGAAGTAAGAGAAAAGTGAGTAGAACTTTTTGCTTACTATATATAACATATTTATCAAGTTTGCTTACTCACTTGTCATTATCATAATTATCCACATCACCTCTTCTATCGTTCAGAAATATCACCAGGTTTGTTGTGTACTCTGAATAAAGTGTTGTGCCATCTGCCGCTACAGTTTTTCTAATCAGCTAGTTATTTTGAGTGTTAATTATTAAAGTTAATTTGATGTCTTCGTACTCATTCATTCTGCCACGATTAGGAAACTGACCTCATCAGTTGGTCGAAAGTTGTAAGGATTTTTGTTATGGTGAAGTGTGATAGTAAGCAAATTCTTGGAGTAAGTGTGTTAAGTTCTATTGACATTTTTGGTTGATTCAGCCAAAACAAAACATAAAATCCATATAAATATAATGTATGTGACAGGAGGGCATGAAGTGGAAGGGTTAATAATGTTATACGTTGTGAACAAATGAATCCAAATAGGCCTTTGAATCCAGCCTTTGAAGGGAGAAAAGGGAACTAAAAGATGATTAACTTAAGATTTTGAATTATTAAAATTGTTTAATTTCATTGATAGATAGATAGATAGGTGATTTTACTACTAGTATGTGATGTGTAAACCTCCGTTTTCGGGATGAACTACTCAATCTATCCCAGCAAAGAAGGTGTTGCTGGAAAGCTGGAAGACCTTGATGACTCCACATGCAACATAAATGTTTGCATATGCTATATAAACATTAATAAGATGAAAAGGCATATTTGAAATGTCCACATCAAGCTCAGTCTGGTGGTTATGTACGTAACCAGTTCTGGCGAAGGAAGTGAAATCACAGCACATCTATTGACTGTGTTAGATTGTGCAGTTTGAAGCCATATGTGTATTTTTCAAAATGCATTTCCACTACACTTCTGAATTGGTATGTAATTTTCACAATGTTAGCAACAGTGAGTCTAGTATACATGATAAGGGAGTCTTACAGAAACGGGTTGAGGAGAGGCAGTACAGGACCAGTAGAGTGGAAAGGAGCAGGGAGGATTTGGAAATTTGGCATGAGACAGGGCAGGCCAGGGTGGGGACACACTATAGGCATTTTGTTTTCTGTCTGAGTAGATAAATATGAATACCCATGCAAAAACAATTGAATTGGGTTTTTAACTTTCTCTAGCTTTACACTAATTTATTAGTGAAATAAAAGAATACTTTTGTTTGCAAATATATTAACTTGAAACAAAAACTGCATGTAATTTGTAAAACTTTATGAAAATATAACAAATGAATCAATTTTACATATGGCTAGAAAGTGTAATTGGATATTGTATGATGGAAGTATGCCATCAATGTTTTCCATTACTTTTAAATCAGTCATGCCAAGAAATATAGCACATGAGACAAAATCTTTAAAATGTATTAGAAACTTAAAGAATCTGTTGTGAAAATTATGTGGTATTGCATCATGAACTTGTCAGTATATAATATCAGTGGTATGTAATTAAAATGTTTCACAAAATGCTGTTACATAGTTTGACTTACTTGTTGAACAAAGATATGTGGAATAGATCAGAATCTGGGAAATCCCATTTTACTTTTATGATTATCATTTTATATTGTAGATAATTATTATTTCTTCTGTCAGGTTTTCAACAACAAGTGTTCTGCTAAAGGTTGCAAAGTAAAAGAGGTAATACCTGTAATTTGCAACAAATGCAAATTAAATTTTTGCTTGAAACATAGACATGAAGCTGACCATCAATGTGAAGGAGAAGCTGGTGCTGCAAAGCGAAAAGCGATGTAAGTTGCTGTTAAAATATTAATTATTCTAAACATTCCAGTTTGTTTGTTTATAAATAGTCAGAAATTCCTTTCTATTCTACTTAAGCGAACTTGACGTACAAAACAATTACAATCTTATGTTGTAAAATTAAATAGCTTGTTATTGCAATGAAGTTTACTTGATGCCAATTTGTACTGCATGATGTAGTATGCTTCCTCCCCCTAATAAGATGAAGTATTGAAAGAAAATGCAGAAATATATTAGATAATTCAGAAATACTGGATTATATGATTATCTCAATGCCGTAGGTTGTAGACAACACTCTATTACAATCATCACAAGCAAAGAATAAACTATGGTCAGTGGCAAAATATAATTGTAATAAGCTGCAAATTCAATATTCTCTGCTCATTGACAGATTATAATTGCGATAATAATAGTTTTTATCATTTTATTTTTTCTCCCCTCCCTTCCTTCGTTCCTCCGTAATGCTCCTTCTCGTTATTGAATGTTGTCCTCCTCAAAATAGAGTTGTTGGCATTGGTCCATATTATTTTAATAAAGAGTTAAAACAGGTAGTTGCTTCTTCAAGACATTGTTTGACTGGTCTTATTTGTTTTGTGATGCTCAGGGAAGCTGCTCTAGCAAGACAGAAGGCCCGGAATGGTCAGTCATTGCATCATCAGGGAGGTGGGCCCTCAGGTTCTAACTCCCATGTCCTGGCTAATGGCCCTACTCGCTCGCAGAATAATGGACCATTTCATCTACAGAATGGAGGGCTATCACATACACACAAGAGTTCCCAACTAAGAAGTAAGCAGAGAGCAACAGCTACAGATGTGCAGGGATCTATGGTAAGTCCATGTTATTAAATTAAAACTGTCATACTAACTTGATTTAATTGTTAGTTAACAGACGAGATGTCATTGAATTATTAAATATAGAAACTTTTGTAAATTGGTATGAACAATTGGACTATTTTTCGACAAAAGTATGTAAATGAGCGAATTCCAATACCTTTAATTTATTACACCGAGTTCTCTTTTTTTTTTATCATAGCATTATATCCTTATCTCTACCATGTCCCAACTATAAAAGAGAGTAAGTAAAGTACAATGTAGACGCTAGGCAGTGTCAGTAGAAAAAGGAAATAATGTTTTTACTTCAGTGTGGCAATATGATGTACTTGATAATGCCAAGAGATCAATTCAGTGCATTCACTACAGAATAAACTTTGTATATTGGTTTACATGTTATGATCTTCAATCATATTGTTGTTCGTTTGTCTACTTTCAGATAAACATATCTGTATCAAAATGAAGATAGATTGCATTCATTTATGTAAGAATATGGAGGCAGCTTTTGATATTGATATATTATATGAATACTTTCGCAACATCTATACAAAGTTACAGTTAAAAAGCATGGGTTTTAAAATTAGCCGAGATTTAAATTTAATTCATATAAATCTGAATTAATAAATCTCCAATGTATTCTTTAGTTAATACATAGGAGTATTGAACGTAATACTATGAAATCGAACCTTACCACTTCAGCCTCTACTTTTCATTATTGATCTGTAAAAGTTGGACTGATTTTGTTTTTATCTTGATAGGTTGGTACAGGTGACATTAACCCAGCATGGATTTTTGCAATGCACAAGAGTTATGACATAATTTTATTAAAAATATAACATGGTTATTATGTACACACAAACTCTCTTTTATATAATAAAATAATTATATTTTTAGTATAAGCACACTCACTTTTATTATATAAATTATATAAATATATTTATTACATAAAAGAACACATATGGAGTAACATTCTCAATCATTCTATGAAAAATAGAATAGTTATGATTCAGAATGTTACTCCAAAAGTCTTCGTTTACTTAACTTAGATAAATACAATCCCCATGCATGTGGGTCGTAGGAGATGCAGGAGGGGTGTAGTGGGATCAGGAGCAGATGGATAGAAAGGTATGAAGAACTAAAAGAAGCAGAAGGTGCGAAAACAACTGGCCTAGTGGAAGGAATGTGCGTAGTGGGAAGAGTGGAAGGAGCTCGGTGGGTGGGGTAGAGGTGTGGATATGGTAGACAAGGTGTGCAGGGGATGGACGAATCAAACAGGATATCTGAAACTGCTTAATGATGGTGATAAATAAATCCCCAGCAACACTGATATCGTGCAAATTTTATCAGTTAGTTATCACTAAAGATCAGAAAAATATGTGGTCAAAACATGTACATAAATGTGTACTGAATACGTAAAATCAGTTATAATATATAATGTTCAAATACACTAATTATAAAATACGTTTACATAATATAAAATTATATTTATAGAAAATGTTCAAATCAAATTTTTAAAGTAGTTATACAAACGTCGTAAAAATCTGTTGGAAACCACAAGTTGATGCCTACTTCACACCACACGTTTCTATCTGTGGTAAAAACTTTTTCCATTGCTATTCAGGACTGTACTTCAGCAACCTGACTAACGTAATAAAAGCTACCTGACTAAACGTAATAAAAGCTATCATACAAACTGACCATACACAGTGATTGTCAAAGTTTCTTAGAAAATAGAAACGAAACACGATGATAAGAATACTTTTCACACCTAAAGGTTAAAGTGATCTCAATCACTGACATGCACCAGCCACTACTGAGAAAACTGAAATAGGCATACCGAACTTTGAAAACATCTGACCGAATCTTACATAGCGTACCTAGAGTAGACTGAATGCAGTAATAGTGAAGGAAGTCGTATTTTTTTCATAAAAAGTAATAAAATTGAAAAAATTCATAGAATAAAAAAATATTTTTTGAAGAAAGAAATATGTAATAAAATAATACCAAATATGTATTCTGTCATTTTATAGATTCTGAATTAAAATCGGTTCACAGGATTGGTCAGTGTGGTTAGAGAAACAATTAGTTATGCCAACATTTCAAAACATGTAATTTTTTCATCAGGGCTTACTAACAATCATACAGGTAACGTCTCATTTCGAGTCTCCACACCCAACTCGACATGGAGTTGCTGGAGCATGTGGGTCCATCTCAAAACAATTGATGAAGAAGTTATATATTTCGAAACGGCATAACTAATTGTTTCTCTAACCACATTGGCCAATCCCATGTACCGATTTTAATTCTTTATTCTTCAATGGTCGCAATTATACAGTGTTTTATAACTTCTGAGAAAAACCTGTTTATTTGTAGCTATATTTCAGTAGCAATGTATTTCTGTGGTTTTAATGAATAATTGAAATGCCATGGTTTTAATGATGAAACTAAGCACCCCAACTTTACAGTGATATTGGCTTAAATAAATAGATTTGTTGTAATTTATATAATATCATTTATACCGTTCTTGTTTTCACCCATTCAATGTAAAAATATGTAACCAAAAAATACAATTTTGGGTTAGGCCGGGGACTATTCACATGGTTATTTTTTTGAGAATGATGAGTAGAGCAGCAAAAAATTATTACACAAAAATGTGGTCTCTAGTTATCACCAATTTCAGGAATTTAAACTACGTATTGCATAATTTGCCATTGATTAGTTATTTATTTGTTGTAAAATAAATTTAAAAATTAATGATGGCTTTTTATAGTCACTTACACAATTGCAGTTTGCTCCGTTTAAACCATTGAAGTGATGGAGCGATACCTTTGTATTTTTGGAGAAAATATGACTGAAGGCGTATTGAATGTGCCAAGTCAGTATCACTTATGGGAGATATGGAGAGGATAGATAAAAATCAGTTAATCAACTAAAAAGTTCTTACTTATAAATCAGAATGGGAAAAAAATGTCCACTGCTTATTTAGAGCGAAAATTGACAAATAAGCTCTAAATCTTTTAGTGAAGCTAGTATTGTAAAGTGACATTCAGACTTTTTTGTAAGTAGATATAATAAACATTTTTATTGATTTGCGCAAAATTCAAACAAGTTATAAAAAAGAAAAATAGGATACCTTTGGTCTATCATTTTTACTTTTAGAATTAGCAGTGTATATTTTTTAATACAAATTTTTCATTGGAAAAAGCAATTATGTATTAACAAGGGAAACTGATAACCATTGTAAGATCCCTGTATTACAAGATGATGGAATTTTACTTGTATTTTCTTTCCTGCATTACTTGATTGAATTTATAAGTCCCTGTGTTCTAGTTCAAGTATATGAAATATTAGAAATAGCAGTCAAAATTCATATCTGTCTATCACTTATTTAAACGATTCTCACCTAAGGATTGAGAGAAGCAGCCCAAAACTGTCATCTTCACAATGGTTAAATTACTGTTTGTTGGAAATTGAGGAATATCTCGGTAGGAATAGAAAGAAAGAATGAATAGAATTATGAAAAGATACTGCAAATAAGTGTACAAAAGAAAATAAAAAACCATGAAGTTAAATCAGCGAAATAGTTTGAAAAATGTCTCAAGAGTATTTGGGAAAGAAATTCTGCTTTATTAAATACATCTGCTCAAAAAATTGAACTACAGAATCAAAGAAAGTGTTCTTGTCTTGGACACATGTGAATGAATGATTAAGTGAGTTTAAATGGGAGGTACATTGTCGCAAAATTCCTATTTCTTTAAATAAAATGTTCAGCAACTGAATTCTGTTATCTGCATGATTGACAATACCTTTAAAATAAATCAGTATTTGCACATAATTTGTGCACACATTAGAATATTTGTTAATAAAATCTTGAAACATATTTTCAGTTTTTCTGAACTAGGTACTTGTGTAAAAAGTCAATAAAAAAAAGTTGAATACGTTGGCAAGAACATAATAATATATTTGTAATTAATGTTGCATTATACAAATATTATTATGTTGTGTTAATTGAAGTTGCCAAGGCAACTAATTTTATCAAGCATGTTCAGGTTTCATATTAAGCTTTGATTAGAATTCATTCTTTCGAATATTTGCTTGGAATATTCAGTTCTAACACCGACTATAATTGGGCTTTAAGCCATACATTTTTTATCTATTAATTAAAAATTTTTTAAGATTCATTTTCAGTACAGTTAAGTGATATTTTTATCATCACTAGAAATATTAAAAGAAACTGTGCTGTGCTTTAGCACCAGTAATTTTCTTATTTTTTATTATTTTAGGTGGTGTTACCGATTTATATTTCCTTTTTTCTAGAGTGAAGATGAAGCACTTGCGCGAGCTTTGGCTTTGTCTATGCAGGAAACGAGTCAGCTGCAGAATCAACCCAATGCTTTAAGTAATTCAAATGATCAGATAACCAGTGATTTCATGCTAGCCCAAGCTCTTGCAGAATCTGAGCAGCCAACCACATCTGCAAGGTCTACACAGAATAAATGTGCTGTGTCATAAATTTTAAGTTTTTGTAATATTAATTATTAAAATTGTATTGTACATAAAGTATATATATTTGAAATACATTCCAAACTGTACATTATAAAAACCTTTTCACATGTTTGAAAAATTTGAGATGGATCTGATGTTATAATTGTAATTAAGGCTATGATTGTCTACGCAATATTTATATTTTACAACACACATTTGTCAGACATTATTATAATAAGTATGTATTTTGTGACTATTCTATTTATTACACATTACAACATATATTGCTAATGTAGACATTTGTAATGCTGGGATACGATCATTTCATTCACCTGTGTCATCAATTATTTCAGAACTTCAGTAATGTCATGTACACATTATAAATCCAAATAATAGAAAGTGGTGATAAATTTAAAGAAGATGAAGATCTGCTTCTTAAAAGCTAATGTCAATCATTAATGAAAAATATAGTTTTATTTAAAGTTTATTTTTGTTGTGTATTATTAACATTGTAAAGAAGTTTTATTTCCTTATCACATGGAACAATCTGAGTGAACATTGTTACAAGAGGCCGATTAAGAAAGTATTTCATTTGTGTGTGGGTGCGTGCAAGAGAGGGGGGGATCTAGCAATTCCACTGGGAAACCTTATCTCCCTAAATATTTTTTTATTGGTTTTTTGCCCCCCCCCCCCTTTTTTTTTATTTTCCACTTCATCTGGATCCACCATTGATTGTTACTCCAATTTATGTTTATCAACCAATAAAGAAAATATCTTAAGGTACTAGAAAAAGAAATTAAAGAAAACTCATACAGTTGACTCCGGTTCTAGTGAACTTCTCGGGACTAACATATTTGGTTCACTATATCCCATGATCTCAAAATTAAATGGAATTTGTTCACAATAATTGATTTTAGTAATGTAGAGATATATAGCAAAGTTCATTATCAGCACAAACTGAACATTTCATTATTTTTATTTGTACTTAAAAAATTATTTTCAATTGTCTGCTTCTTAGAAAACTTTCTTTCTCTAGAGCCTTCCCCAGAGTTTGTGCTCTCACCTTACTTGATTCTGCGTTGTCCTCTGTCAGTATCGCAATGCTGTCTTGACACCATTCAACACCTCTTGTACTGTTGGAACACCAACTCTCTGAAGGCCTCTTTAATCACCTAATACCATAAAAGATCCAAGTAATTTCCAAGAACTTCTTCCTATGATCACTATAGCTAAGGTTCAGGTTCACTATAACCGAATCTACATATGCTTATTTGCAATGTAAGTGAAACGGCACCAGTGACTTAAATTCACTATAACTGAGGGTTTGCTGTATCGTGAGTTCCCTATAACTGGAGTCAACTGTATGTCCTAAATAAATAAACTTTATTATTTGGAGTGAAAAAAAATCGAATCCAAAATACCAATAAATGATATGGCTAAGAAAGCAAGGAAAAACTGGAAAAGATGACAAAATTTGGTATTGTCTGAAAAAAACTCAGGATTTTTGCTTTTGCTTTGCCTTTATTTTGGGATAAATTTAGTTATGCCATATTGCTGATGTATTGCACTAAATGTTATTGGAAAAGCAGCATTATACTTGGATTTAAAAATGGGTTCAGTCAACGTAAATCAGCTGTTATGGTGCCATCCAATTGGGAGATAAAATATCACCATAGTGACATCACTATAGTGATATGTAAGCTCCTGATTGGATGACATCATAACAGCTGATGAACTGTTAAATGAAGCTCTAAATAAATTGAAGAATTGAGAAAAGTGAAGTCAGTCTTCCCCTTGCATGTTCACTTGTAAGCATAAGGCTGTTGCAAACCTAAAATTGTCTGGAAAAGTTCGTAATATTCTCTAATTCACATGTAATACCGTTTAATCGTAGTGATATGTAAAAATGATTTAAAAATACTTGTATTACTAAATTGTTGAAGGTTTTTATCATTGACTTTATAATTTTAGCATTCATTTTTTTTCATTTTCAAATTATATTATATTAACAATTGCATAGTTTTTATTCATATACAGTTGGTTTCATGCAGAGTGAACTGTCCTTGCATGATTCAGTGTGAAGTCTTAAAATTATCTAGTATTTGTAATTTTAATTGAAATATATGTTTTGGGGTCTTGAAATCCTAAATCTTAATGCTTCAAAATAGTTTATTAACATGAAATCTCAAAATTTAAGAGCTGGAAATGTCTGGGAGTGTTTTGAAATTTCAAATGTGTAACACTTTTATCTAGATCGCTGTAAACAAACTATACATTTTTAAAAAACCTCATGAATTGTACCTATCTTAGATAAAGAATTTTTCTTATCCATCAGAATTATAAGGAATGAACTTCTAAAACTGCACTTGAGAATGTAAAGGAAATTCTAGTATCGTGACTTGAATATAATGTTCTAAGCAAATTGTTCCATTAGCACTTTTTAAGCAAAATCACTTTCTACTAATAGTTTTTAAAGTGGAATACATGGTAGTTTTGCATTGTGGTTTTTCAAGTTCTTCAGATTCTAATTTTTCAGTTGCTTGGTTTCCAAAGATTATTATGCGATACCAAGTAATTTTAACGATAACATACATTTAATACACGAGTAAGTGATTTAATCCTCACCAGTAATTATATCTATCTCAGTAAAATACTTTACAAATGAAATGAGAAATAATACTTCATAATTAAGTCCTGTTGTTATTCTCTAAAGAATGCATGAAGGTTTATGAGAATGAGCTTGACCAAGATAGTTTTGTTTTTGATTTCCACCTTGTTTAGATGTAGAGATGTTTTTAGTAGTAAAGATTATTGTACTAATTTTGTATTAATCTGTAAATTAAGACGTTCCTCAAACATTTATTTTGCCATTTTCAATCGTTTTTATTATCAAGAAATTCAAATGTACATCTTCGTTAGTTTCAATTCAAAATAAAAATTAAATACATAATAAAAATTTTAACATGCAAGTGAAAGTAACTGTTTCTACAATGTTAATTACATAATACATCTTTGTATACATTTTATTTTTCTACATCAATGGTATATTTATAAGTGACACTTTGGTCCTGATGATATAGAGTGTTTGTGAAAATGCCAAAATATATAGTTGTTGTTTAGAAATGTTGTTATAAAATCAGGAAACTCTCTTTTTGTTACTAGTTCCAAAAATATTTCTTTTGCTGCAATGATCTTCTGGTAATCATCAATAGAGTTGCAGAACTGATTATTTTTCTTACACTCTGTGATAAATTCACTAGCAAATTTGCTCACAAGATGTTTTGATACTATTCCATTGACATCTTCCATACTTGCCTAGAAAACATGCATTAAAAATGAATAATTACTGGCATAGACTATATATAAACAATTTTAAAATTTTCTTCTCTCTTCTCCCAAAGATATTTGCTTGTTCAAGTGCTTATGGGAAATCTTGGAAAGATTGATACTAAAATTTTAGAGTTAAGTAATGGCAATTCAGATTTTTATGGAATGTTTTAAATAGGAACATTATTGGTTGTTAAGAGAAAGTCGCTAATTTGCATTGTCACTGCCATTCACATCTGTCAATTAATACATGTGGCCTTTGTTATAATTATTATAATCATTTAAATAAACTTGTACACAGAAGCACGTAAATACATTTTTTCCCATCCTTTATCCTTGTCAGATATACATTAGAAATTCTTTATTGTGCTGCTTTGCAATCAAGAGAGAGTGAAACGCCTCATTCATGTTCCTGAAATTTATGTTGTCCATACTTTAACATGCATTTACATCCCAGTCCATTCATTTTGTGTATGTTCTCAATGTAACATTCCTGCTTTCATTCTTTCAAAATTAAAGTTTCCCATTATTTACATTTTTTAATTGACTGTAAATTAAGTGTTACATTGTGGATTTTGTAATCGGGTAAAGACAGAATTATTCCATACTTTTCCTGGTATTCTAAGCTAAGCTATTGTTATTGTTTCTAATTTTGATAATTTTTATTGTGATGTAGATTGCCTACTTGTAGCAAGCTATTTCACCTGCATATTACCAGATAAGCAACAAGTCAAATGCTTGCAAAACTTCCAGTTGCAGTTGTGTATTTGTGAATATATTTTTCTTTTTAATCAGCAAGTGCATATTTATAAATGCAATTTTTCTTTTCTTTGCACCTTATTCCAACCAGTCAGTGCTTCACTGCGAGAGGTGGCTCAGGGCATCAACTGATGTCATTAGTGCCTCTGACCGGGAGGTCCTAGGTTTTAATCCCAGCAGTGGTTTCAACTCTAGCTAAATATCTATGTCAAGTTCAGTCGCTGTCTGGAGGAGAATTCTAGCAGCTGGCTACTCTGACGAATGCCGGAGGAGTAACAAATGGCCCAAGACTGTGTGCGATCTTATCTTCCTCTTTCTTGTTCTAACCTCACCCCTTACTTACATGCACTACACATGCCGGGTGACCAGTCAGGTGCCTAGAGCTTGTCCCAGCTGGGAGAGTGCCCTGCTGTTGAGATGTACCTTGTTGAGGGAAAATCTCTGTATGCCAACCGGTCGGCCCCAGATCTCGCCACCGTTCAGGGCACAGATCAAAGGCCACCTCCCGCAATAAATATGTACTACACTTACGGGACCAATGACAGCCGTTGACGTGCCCAGAATCACTTCTCGATCAATCAAAATCTGTCAGTGCTTCAATGGATATTTTCATTGTTCTTGTGTAGTTTTTGTAAATCATGACACAAGTTGACTAAAGCAATATGTTAAATTTTTGGGGAAGACTTTCAAAAATGTTTTCATGTTTATTTGATAAGATGGATTCTTTACAATTTTTTGTAAAGTAGTAAATTATTATATTTTGAAGTGGAAGACCAAAGAAGTCCAATATGTACCAGTACATTGTCTGCTACATGCATTCAACATCCTTAATGGGACCCCCAATAGTTAGCAGCCTAGTGTAATTACCTTGTGTCTTATCCATTGCCATATTTGAGATCTAGATATTTCTGCTGTGGCAGAATCTTCTACAGCTCCCTTGAACTCAAAATGGCCACGCCCTTGAAACCAATAGTAAATAAACAAAATGGCCACTTGCACATTATGTTTCATTCCATTTACTGTCACTCCTCCAGTAGGCATTTGTAACAAATCTTCTGGACTCACTGACTCATTGGGTAGTACTGACAATTGATTTGGTTCAGGTGCATGTTGCTTCCAGAGCTATATAGAAAAACAACAGATGAAACAAAGAACAACTGTGTTTACACTTAAGTACATTTTATTAATGTATAGATTGAATATGTTGAAAACTGGATGGTGTGCAAATATTCACATTTAATTTTACCATGTTGATATTTTTTCAAAATCTGTAACAAACAGTAATGAGTAAGATTAACATTTCAATGAAAGACATGTAGTAGGCCCTCAACATTCATCTTCTGTCTTTGACAAAATAGATTTAAAACGTTTTAGCTAAAGATGCAACAGACAAAACACACACTCAAAGACCAATGAATCAGGAATTTTCACTCTTTTTTTTGTAATTGAATTAAATTATAAAGTAAACATTAATATTTCTTATTGGCTTATTACAGAAGCAATTTTGTTCTCCAAAGGTAATGGGATGTTAAGTCCATTGTTTGCTAAAATGGGACACTTCAGGGTCCCTCCACACTAGTGTTGTATTGACATGCATTAAGTAACGTGTGTCATAGAATAACAGTGCATCTTATCCAAAATGGCACATAAGCACTTTGGCTGTTCCGCGTAAGATACGGTTTTAATCTACAAGCGCATTGCTTGTCATGCATCAACACAATGTTCATGTGACACAGACCTTAACACTGTTTCCAATTTCGTCATCCTCTCTGGAAGTATTGAGAACTTTCAAAAAAAAAAAAAAATGATGATGGAGTTAAAAACAGTCAAAGCAACATTACATGCATGTGGTAACAAAGAAATATACTACTTTTGACATGTTCTCCTGTAAGATTGATGGTAGTGTTCTTGACCTCTGAGGTACAGAATTATAGATTATATCTCTCATATATTTGATTGCAAATAAATAATTTTCATGTTTTGTCCATGTCATAGCACTCACTGCAACGTGGATTTAGTAATTTGTCACACAGGTTGGAGAAGACTTTTGCCATGATGTTGAACATTGAACAATGTCTACATGAGCTGCTGCTGTTTAGCTGTATGGTGATTTCTACTAACATAATAATTCACTGGTTTTCAAGTAATTTCAATAGAATTCATTTCTTGCATTCAGAACTTTTAACATTGCAATTATGAGCATGATTTATTAAATATTTTGAAATATGGTAATTATATAGCTTTGCCTGACGTGAAAAACAAACAATTAATTTTTTCTGAAAACCATTCTTTAATTAGTTGAAGAAATCAATTGCCCAATATTTCAATCCTCTCTTTGCTTTCCAATATCTGATTTACAATTTGAACCTGGTCTGCACCTTTTAAAGAAATAAAAATGATATAGATTGTCAGGATTGTTCCGTTTGTTTCATGTAGATGTAATGAAGTTCTTCTGTATTAACTTACACTTTACAGCTAGATATATGTCACCTAATATTTTCAGAATCTCTTCATCAGAGAAATAAACCAGTCAAATAAAACCCTCATCTAAAAGTAACACTTTTTAACAGCTTGTGAAACATTGTGAAATGGCTTGTGAGAACAGGAGTATGAAAGCATAAAATGTAGTTATTAATAAAACCCAACAGAAATTTAGTATCTTGCGATTTCAATCATCATTTGTCCATGAATTAAACAAATTATTCCATATGTCTTCTGCATTGAGGACATTGCTGGTATAAGTTTTAAGTTGCTATACTAGGCAACATGTCTGAGAACAAAATATGTAAAGATATACGTGAACAGTTCTGGAAGTAATATCAATTGTTCATCATCATTATAGTCTCTGTTATTCACTTTTTCTTCGCTAACACAAAGTTTCTAAACTTTCTGTCCTCTCACTGTAATATTTTGTATTTCTTTTATGCTTGTTATGTTTTATAGCTAAACAGTACTATATCTAGTATCCCCATATTTTCTTACACACCTTTTTCTGAAGACATACTGAGGTGACATTGCATTTTTACGATTTCATCAATAGACTTTATCTTTGTCTGATGTTCTCTTGTCTGCCTCGAGTTCAACTTCTCTTTCATTCCACAACCATATGCCGAATATTCCCTCATTCCTGTTTTGAAGCATCGCATTAATACACAACACACATTATAACTATAAAACCATATTCGTTTCATTATCGACTTATCACCTATCTAATGATAACTGCAGTTATTTAAATATCTAAAATGGACTGATTGAATGGAATACAAGTAGTGGTAATTTATGTAACTTTTGTATTTTAATAAAGGTAATTTATGTAACTTTTACCATTAACATATTGACAGTGATGGTTTTAATTTTCTAATGAATGTATGTAATGTAATGCATGTTTAAAATGAGACTTTAATATAAAAAAAAATAAAAATTCCAAATTCATTGGTTACTCCACTGTAACATTATATGAAACTTCACAATTATTTTATATTAAACAGCACCCTATTCTCATTTAAATCAATAGATAATATCTCTTATTCATTTCATAGTGTCTTACCTTGTTTATGTATGGTACTAAACCAATGTCGTAAACCATGAAACCATCAACCCCTGCTGATATTTCTTGAAGTTTAGACTTGCACACATTTTCAATGATTTCTGAATTCCTAAACAGAAATAGGAAAAGGTAATGAGAAAATAAGACAAATCTTATAGTTACAAACAAAATAAGTATAAATACTGCACCCAGGATCTTGTCTTGAGAACTTAGTTAATTAACATACAAGGTAGTTCTCAGGAATAAAATAAAACATAGAAATCAAGTTTTGCGTTGTTTTTGAAGTTTGATGCGCAGTTGTTTAATTTAGAGCTCAAATAAAAATCACCTGTTTGGTTGACTTGATGGTTTAATTGACTCATTGGCATATCAAGGGAAAAAAGTTTCTATGGGTTTTAAATCCTTCAGTGTGAAGGATTGTGTTGGTTACACCACTGCCTCAATCATCTTGTCGGGCAGTAGAAATGCATCTCAGGCTCAAACCAAGATAGTCTTTGAGCTATTTTCTATCTTTCTGTCTCCTTCAAAAGCCGAACATAGGAATCTACTTGTTTTCAAATCATTTTGCTGTTTGCTTTATTGAATTGTAAATTGTATAAACAACCAAAGGAATTAAAATTCTTGTTGCTTTTTTAATCAAAGTAAAGTGATAATTGGTCAGTTTTAAAATATTCTTAAAACGTTTCTAATTCCTGACAGGGTTTTTGAGCATCATGGGTATTGAAGCCAAAAAGCAAAAACCACCTTACCGTGAAGTGTTTTCCATACTGAGACTTTGAGCTGCCATTCCCCCAGTAGCATGAGCTCCTCTTTTGTGACAAGTTTTAATGACCAACAACATGTAAGACTTGAGGAAGTGACGACTCATGTTGACATATTTATTTCTGTCTGGTAGCATGAAATTTTTCTTGTGCCCTGTTTTTAATGTAATGTAATTAGTACTTTGTATTGGTTGCAAATGAAAGTGATGAAACTGAAACTTACCAAATTTACTGATAATAGAAGCTGCATAATCCCATATACCACAATTCAAGCCTAAAGAATGATCTTTCAATTTATATAGAATTTCATCCATTTCGAAAGAAGAAAGGATGTTCTCAATAAGAACGCAAGCTTTTATTGTCCCTGAAAAAGACATAATACTGAATCTGTGTAAAACTTGAATGCATCCTGATGCATTGCATCATCAACCTGTTGAATTTTACAGAACTTAAGGAAGCCATTTTAATGGTGGCTTACATTCTTAAGCAGTGATAAACAAATAATGCTGAAGATGAATTAAAACTTATGAGAGAATATATTTTTATTTTCTTTCAGATAGACAAACATTTAAACACTTTAACGTGTGTTAGACTTCCCATGAGTAAAAGAAATGCTCTTAATTATGCCTCCTTGATTTCAGAGGAAAATTAAACGTAAAAAAACTGAAAGAAATTAACCTCATGAAAAAATTTGAAACTCAAATATCCAATAAATTGAGGATCACCAGGATCTGACAGGTATGGACCCAAACCCTGAATTTCACAATAACAATAATGAAATAAAACGTAAAGTTAGTGTATTCATTATATAAACATTTGTGTACTAATTCACAATTTTTTTAATTTCAATTGTCAGCAATAGATATAAAAACATATCCACATAGGGTAAAATAACTCAACTTCAACACTGTCCGCATCCTTGAAAAAGTATGATCATAGTCTAGCTATCTTGAATTTTTTCTATTTATAAAAATAATGCAATCAGTGTATCTATCGTAACATATGATGATTTTGAATTTGATGCTGATATGCTTTTTATATAAAAATCAATATCGCCTCTTCTTCTCTTGCTTTAAAACAAATATGTCTTGTGTTCTTTTTAACATGTGATTCAATAAATAAGATTGTTATAACTAATCCTACATTGAATATATATTTTTATTCAAACCTTTTTTTTTTTTTTTTAACAAAAGAATGTGGATTATTAGCAAGCTCAGAACATCTAACAGAAATTTGCATTTGCATTGCATTTGCATTTGCATTTGCATTGCATGTTATTTCCAATTACCATGATTCAAAAATATAACTTAATACACTTTATATTCAGCCCTTACTCACTTCATGAAGCTTTAGTTACTAATAATTTCATTTTAAAAGAGCCATTAATTCTATTTTTCACTTAGTATGCCCTTCAACATTATTTGAAACAATGCTCTCAGATATTAACAACATACCATAAGGAATCTGTAATTTCTGCTGTGCCCATACAAAAATATCATTCCAGAGTTCAGCTTCATCTGCTCCTTCGAGTTTAGAGAGATAGAAAAAAGGTCCACTTCCTTCTTTGAAAAGTTCATGAGCATTATGGAAGACGAGAACTCCAAAGTCAAATAATGGTCCAGGAACTTCTTTTCCATTGACCTATTTAAATATATTATATTAATTTACCTTTTGCATTTGTATTTATTTGATTGCATATAGTACACAAAAGTACTCAACCATCATATTGTGTTCAATCATATTCCATGCCCGAGGTCGAAGCATTAAAATTGGAAGAGTACTTAGAGAAGGAATACCACTGAACTGTCCATGTACTACTTTGAAGATGTTGTATAAACCTATGAGTTGATTCTTCCATGTAGGACAATGCCCATCATCAAAGTCAACCTGTAGAATTAATTATTAATCATTAATAATAAATATTTCTTGTTGATGAAAATATATCTGAGGATATCTCAATAAATAGAATTTTGAAATCACAACAAAACTGATAAAAAGGAAAATGTAGGTTGTTTGTACAATATAAGATATTTTTGGTTGCACAAGTTAAAAAGATATTTGAGCTAATGTGTATGGAAACATGAACTGTCATGTATTAAACATCCAAAACTACAATTAAATGCAATATCAAATCATTATATTTTTCTTATAAAATGATGTCTTGAAATGTACCTGAATACCTTGCACATCAGCTAGTAAAGCTTTCTTGAAATGATCTGTATTTGCAGGACTGACATCACCCAAGTCCAAATGCCGATTTTGCAGTCGTTGTGGCAGTGGTGCTACTTTCCAATGCTTCTCATGCCTTTCGGGTGAGTTTCTAAATTTTGGCAGTTGATCCAACTTTTGATACGTACATTTTGTTGTTAAACGTTTCCAATAAAGCTGAATATGGGGTTTACAATCAGAACAACATTGATGATGTCTGGGCTTAAAATAAGAAAAAATGGGACCTACTTGCTCAATACGAGTGTCAAAAGTTGAAACAAGTTCAGCTATGAACTGAATGGCATCAGGAGAATATAATGTGTTGTATGCTGTCTCAAGACCCACAGGACAGGGCTCCAATATAATAGATATATCATTTGGGTTAGATGGTGTCTACAGAAATTACAAAAAAGACTATGTTCAATTTAGATAAAAAATGATAATATGAGAATACATTATATCAACATGATAGTCAGTAATATATATATATATATATATATATATATATATATATATATATATATATATTACACAAATATAATTAAATAAAAGCAAAAGTGATCATGATATTTTCATTAATTTATTTAATTGCTAGATACAAATTTAGTGCAATAATATTTGATATAATGACTATTTGTGAAGAATACATTATTCTGAATCTCTGATTGTATGATAGTTAAGATAAAGTTGGTAATGTGTACATTAAATACTAAACACTTCCTTTTCATATTTCAGTTCATGAATCTACAGCATTCACAATATTTATTTCAAATTGGCACTGAAAAATTAAATGTGTACAAACCTTGATGTGAATTGCAATGACATTTCATACTAATTGCCATAAAAATACTTGTGGTCATGTAATAATAACAATATTGGAATCAGAAGTAGGTATATGATCATACAACATGAAATTACCAAAATGTGCCACACCTACATGCCCACATGCTCTGTTTCAGGAGAGCAAAGAATGAAAGGAGATTGAAAATACAATAGTGTTGTCAATGTTATCTGATTGATCATGTCAATAAAATCTAATAAAAACTGATTTTGTTGAAACCTGCATTTATACACAAAGGTAATAGAATTCAATTTCATATATTTTAACAGGATGTTTTGTGGCACTAGGAAAGTTTTGATAACTGACACCAATGTAATATTTGCTTTTAAACGAGTACAAATTACGAATGCAAGCTATTATTTCTTACATTTTCAATCATTTTCATTTCCACTGTGGTTGAATCCTTTTTACGAAGCAATACTAAGATGCTAAGCGACTCTGCAGTTATCTGCAATCAGGGTTTTGGCCTCATAGGAAGAGCAAGACAAATCACGCTCCTACATGAAAGGACTTTGAACTCGTGCGCCTTTCTCACTGGAAACGTTATCTACGATTAACCGTAATTAATACTGTCCGCCCTCTTGTAATTTTCAGAATGAGTTTATGAAGGTTTTTTCCACGTTTCAACACGGTAAACTTACGACTCAAGTCTGACACGACTGCAAATCCTCTCTATCCGCATAAAGGCCTCAGAATAGAATGTGGCTTCTCGCTTGACGAGTTAAAGTTCAAACTATGCAAGAAAGAATTAGTAAAACACGACGAGAGCATGAAGATGAGTGGAAGTGACATATGTAAAAATGGGTGTGGGAAAAATAAATTTCGGTTAGTTCGCTTACGGTCAAACCTGATTGCAATGTTGCTTCTATCATGCGAGTAAGGTAATCGTAAAGTTGTTAGTATTTTTTTATTATTCGCATTTAAATAGTTAATAGCTTTTGTATTATTGCACATTTGAAATTTAGTATAATGGTTATATTTGCATTTGGTGGAACATTATAGATTAATCATAACGTTTTATAACATTTCAATTTTTACTTTCTCGCCTTAAGAAGGTACTCTTAAGAAAATAGTTATGTAATGCTGCGCAAAATAAAAGGCAAATTTTCGGCAGAAAAACTCTCATTACAGGCTTCTGGTAAGGAAAAAGTGGATGTATCCAGTTGCTAAATTTAGAAAAAAAATCCTCCAACATGTGGTGTAACCAGAATCCATGTTTAGTGGGTCCTTGATATGAATCGAATGATGGTAAAAAGCCAGACAGTCTGTGAACAAAGCTCAGGGCAAAACGTTGAGTCGATTTTCTCCAAAATTGGGAATATCTCCCCAATCGATCTGGCTGATGTCGCGGCCCCTTGAATTTGAAACCGAAATTTTAGTTTTGGGGGATTCTATACACTAAGACCATGAAACATTTACGAAATTTTCAAAAAAATGGCTCCAACGTTTTGGACTAAACTTTGTTATTGGATAGTGTGAAGGACGTTTAAGAGTCGCAGGTCTCATGTTCGTTGTAAACCCTAATTTTTCGAAAATTGCAAAAGTTCATAACTTGTTCGGCATCTTCCTACAACTAAAATATTTAGGATAGAGATTTTTCTTTTATGAAATCTAATCCTTTAAGATAGATTTTGTAATAAGGTCTTGTACAAGTTTTCGAAAATTTGAGTATTTTTCGCGTAATTTTGCGTGGAATACAGGCAATTTTTAATTTTTTCTACACTTTTTTCTAAAAAACGGAACAAACATATCTGATTGCATTTTGAACTTGGATAACATATAAGACGCTCAAGAGAGTGGTGCTAATCTGATGTTCGTTGAAAATTCTGATTTTTTTTTATTGCAAAAATTCAATTTTTTTGATGGCTTCCTACCGGTATAATTATGAAAATTAACATTTTTTCCTCAATAAAATGTGTTCATCAAATCTAAAAATAATGTAATGTTCAATTTTTCGAAAATGTGAGTAGTTTTGCGAAGTTGTGTCAAATATAGTCAACTTTTATTTTCTTTAAGCCATTTTTCTTGAAAAACTGAACAAGATGTTCTGATTAAATTTGGACCTTTGATATCATAAAGGACACTTAAGAGAATAGTGCAGGAGAGTTTGTTAAAATTCCTAATTTTTCGAGAAAAAAAAACAAAAAAACAATTGGCGTCTTCCTACAACTACAAATGTAAAGATACATTTTTTAAATGAAATGTGTTCATCAAGAACAGAACGTTCTGAACTTAATGTGATAAGTAATTCCAGTCAATTAGATGCTACACCAGTTAGAATTTGAATATTCTTTCATATTTCTTTGTTCGTTTCTGACATTCGAACTTTTGTCATAATTTACACAAATTATTTTTGTTTAGAAATTATTTAAACCTATTTGGAATATATGAAAGAAAAATGGCTACCCTTTAGAGGATAACAGATTGGAATGTAACAATGGCATTCCGCGCTGCGAGACAGCAGTTGAAATTCTATGAATTATGTCTCATTGTTGGGCCATGATTTAGTTGTAAGAAATGCAGTTATAGTTGTCAAACTTGTGTTAATATTTGCTTGAAAATATTTACTTTTCGCATCAAATGTTCTACGATTTGTAATGAGTTTTACAAAAAATGATGACTGAGATGTGTTGATTTGGAAAGAGTTTGTAGTATAGTATACATTATAATAGTATTACATAACCATTATTAAGGACGAAAAAGTATGTGATGATTTAAAACCACTAGTTTTATTTACAGTGAATTTATCGAATAATAAAACACGAACACCCATTTTTACGTTCTGATATATTTATCTGCATAAAAACTCTCTGGTTGCCTTGTTGAAACCTCTATCATTCATTTTAATCAATCTAATTTCTAAAGATCTAATGGCAGTAAGTTCAAAAAATACGTTCGCAAAACTGAGTTTTTTGTTAACTTCTCCCACCCCGTCAAAACAACTCGTATGACTTTTACAAACACTTCCCAGAGATGAACGTTCCATTTAACCCCCTCCCCTCGACCTCACACTAAGATAAATACAAGTAAAATTGGGTGTTTCGTGCAGTTTATATTTAAAAACGTATACTTTTGATTTATCCTAACTTATACTTTGACATTAATAATGTAGTAATAGTTACACAAATTTGGTGAGAAGGTCATTTTTTCATCACTCTACCCTTTCATTCGTTTTTAATCTCAAGTTTTGTGAATATTTCCAATGACCAAAACAATTATTTGATTTAGTCAGTGAAAATTGTATATGACGTAAGGGGGAGAGGTATCATCTGCACACGTTTCCTCGAGCTCCAGAAAGCATTCCTAGCATTTTAACAATATTACATATACAAACAGTTGAAAGATGAAATAAGTGTTTCCAACGGGGTCGTTATCGACCCCCCTCTAGAGTTGATGAAATTTTCATTTAGTTAGAGTAGTTTGTCGAGAGGCTCAATGATGATCAAGGAATCGAATGGGGGTCTACATCCGAGTATGAACCGGCGATTGATATGTATAATCAAGATCCCATTGATTACAAAAAATGAGCCTCGAGGTATTTATTAAAATATTGATGCACAAAATTGTTATCTTTAAAACACACACGTTCAATTCTTTGTGCTACGATTAGAGCTAGGATTTCCAAGCAGTAAAAATGTCTAAAATACATTACATCTTTAAAATATGTAATAAATATGCAATGCAAAATTCTTGTAGAGAAATTTGAACATCGGTTGAAAAAGTGTTTGGGCCCCTCTTTAGTAATGAAATAAATATATTTAATGTTAGAGAAATCCAAATATTGTAAAACCTGAATTAAATATATTTAATAGTAAAAAGCTAATTAACTAGTAGAAATTTTTAATAAACGTTCCATATTTTAGTACAATGGTTTTAAAGAAATATAATCTGCTGACGGGATTGGTTAATGTGGTTAGAGAAACAATTACGCCGCTTCGCAATATTTAATTTCTTAATCAGGGCTAAAGTATAAACAATGAACAGTGCATGAGGACAACACACATTACAATAAATTGATTCTTTAATAATTAACACAAATAAAACAAAAAAAATAAAAATTATCAACTGCTATTAATTAAACACCAAAATATAGTAAGTACACACCTTACTATTTTTTTAAATAATAATCAAACAGGTAACGTCTCATTTCAAGCCTCCACACCCGATACCCACATCCACATGGAGTTGCTGGAACACGTGGGTCCATCGCAAGACAGTTGTGAGTCGGGCCAAGGCCCAAACGAAAAAGAATGACTGGTTGAATTGAATGAACCACGGTAGAATATATAAAATAGAACTAAAAAGTGATTTGTGAAGTAGTAAGCCAAAAGTGGCAATTAAGATAACTTTAGGTCTAGATTGTTAAGTAGTTGTAAGAAAAAGCCCTCGCCTGTAGCTGCCTTAAGCGCAAGGCAGCAGCGTATTACAAAAAAAAAAAATTCATAGAAAATAAATTCCTTCTTCAACAGGGATACCTGTGGAGGGGAAAAAGATGACAGGCTACAGCCTATCATGTCCCGCACCATAATGTTTTGGTCAAGTTCATGTAAATAAGCATTAACTGACAACATTCTGAGAAAAGTTGATGCAAATGTATCAAAACTAGATGTATTGACCAAATATTATTATATTGTTGTTATTTAAGGTTAACAACTACTTTAGTCGTTACTAATTTTGCCGAAAGATGACTTCGTCCAAGGAAGACTCAAATGCTGCACACAGAATTCCAGAAAGTTCTTGTTTTGTCAGTCAAATACTATTGTGTTATGTTGACAGCTAAAACACCATATTCTATAATAAATGTTATGTAAGTAATACGAAAAAATGAATAACATCTTGTCATAATGTATTCATGACAGTCAATTTTGTATGCAGCATTTGAGTCTTCATTCAGCATGAAGTCATCATTCAGCAAAATTCGTATCGAAGAAATTTGTAGTTACTGTGGTCAAATAAATGAGCGCGCTTGTCTGAAGGACGGACTGCAAAGTTCCCAATTTAGTTAGCTGGAAAGGTGTAATGGAAAATCGCCGCTTCAGTGGAAAAATACGTTACAAAAACATAGCAATGTCTAAAAAACGATTCACTTTAGTACAAAGAAGTACACATATTTGAAATAGTATTTTTAAGCTCATTACGATTCGTTAAAATTTAGTGTAGGCATTTAAAAAACAAATATGGCCTTTTATCTTTGTAGCAAAAAATAGTTCAAAGGCGAAATATGCTAGTATTTACGTAGTATATTATTGCCATTATGCCCTGAAAAAGGTCGCAGAATGGCGACCGAAATGTCGGCACCTTCGCCAAGGACGCGGCGTCACCCGGACAGCCAAGTAAATACTGACTCCGGCCGCTGAAGCCTACGCACCCGCGAAGTATGCTGCAATCAAGTAGTCAGTGGAGTAACTGGGACAGGCAAAAGAGGGCCTATTTATATTGGGCCCGCAAGGCCCACAATGCGGGTAGGCCCGGGTAACAGGGAGCCCTATTTTTAGGCTGAAGGTTTTGCGATTGTAGGATAATTATATTTATGTAATTGTAATGATTATTTCTCTGACACTTTGCGATAGTTGATACAATAAAAGATTAAAAACATCTTTCAGGAGAACGATTTTTTTCTGCTTTGGTAGTTTATGTAACCTGTTTCTATAAATAAAACCTTTACACGTTTATAAATAAATAAAGATAAGCAATTCATTTGGGTTTTATAAAAGAGTTAATTTCATAAAATTAAATAATATTGGCAGAGTTTTCTGTTATTGATTATAAGCACTTTACCTTTGTTAAATAAC